TGTGTGTGTGTGTGTGTGTGTGTGTGTGTGTGTGTACCATAGCACACGTGTGGAGGGAAGAAAACAACTTTTATGAGTTTCCTCTCTTTTTCCACCATTTGGGTCTCAGCTGCCTTTATTGCTGAACCATCTGCCCACTTGTCAATACCTTTATAATATAATCTCTAGTAGAGCTCACTTAGATTTTAATGAAGAGATTTTTTACTATCTTCGTTCTTTACCATTAAGAATGTAATATTCTGGGATTGAGGGTGTAGTTCAGTTGATAGAGTGTTTGCACCACATACATGAAACCCTGGGTTTGATCCCCAGAACTGCATAAACGGGGTGCCATGGTGCACACCTGTGATCCCATCACTCGGGAAAGGGAGGAGAGAGGATCAGAAATTCATAGCCATCATCAGCTATGTAGTAAGTTTGAGGCCAGCCTGAACTACATAAAGCCCTCTCTCAATAAATTTTTTAAAAGAATCCCATATTCTAAGTGGAAAGCTGTAAAACATGTATTGGCTGACCTGAGCACACTGCTACTTCAAGTCCATTCTTAGAATCTGTCCAAAGGAAATAAAAGGAAATCAGTCAGCAGAAAAAGAGCTATAGTGGGACGCAGCCACAGTGATGGGTACATTGTACATTTTCCTTATCTATTTATCTCTTGATGGACATCTGGGCTAACCCCAAGTCCCGCCCATTGTGAATAACATAGCAATAAGCGTGAGCATGCGGGTATCTTTGTGTCACATTGACTTAGAGTCTTTCAGACATATACCCAGGAGGGACATAGTTGGGTCACATGATATTCCTTGTTATAACAAGGTTCTCTCAGACACCACTCTCATTCCACATGTGTTTCATATTGCTCTGTAATATACCTTCTTTCTTCTACATATAAAAAGACTTACATATTCCTCTTAAGAATTGGTGAGTTCATTTTTCACCACTGTAACATCACTTACCAAAACAGAATTTATTTTAGCTCACGTTTCCAGAGATTTCAGAAGGCAGAGCAAAAGGGCTGACTTCACGCTAGAGTATGAACATTTGCTCTGCTGCCTCCCTCTTCCCTCATTTATTCTATCCAGGGCCCCGGCCCATACTTTCCTTCCTTAGCTGGAAACACCCTCACAGATGCATCCAGAGCTGTGTTTTGCTGATCTCCCAGGTATTTCTCAGTCCAATCAGGTTGTGCCTCAGACTAGCCTTCACAGTTGGATTTCTCTACACTTTATTGGCTCATTACACAGAATGTAGATCTCCTGTAGTCATGATATGCTCCCCAAATCTACTGTTCAGTGTGTCCCAGCCTCTGACTCTACTCCTTCTGCTCTTTATGTCCCCACAAATGTCAGTCATCCCAGGAGTCAAATCCTGGACAGTGGCTCCCCTTTATCAGGATGTGTTTGCTGTCTTCTTTGGTCTCTGGTGCCCAAGGGAGAGCAAGAGTACAGCTCCTTAAAGATCCTTGCTGTGGGGTTGGAGAGATGGCTCAGCAGTTAAGAGCACTTGATGCTCCAGAAGAGAACCCTTTTGGTTCCCAGGACCCACATGATGGCTCACAGCCATCTGTAATTCTTCTTCCTGGAGATCCAATGTCCTTTGCTGACCTCTATAGGCACTATAGGCATGCAAGTGGTGAACATCCATACTTGCAAGCAAAACACTCTGTTATGAGTCTTTCTCTGCCCCACCAGCCAGCTCCCAAATAATGATGCAAAGACTCCTTCTTAATTATGAAAGCTTGGCCTATAGCTTAGGCTCGTTCCTAACTAGCTCTTGCAACTTAAATTAACCCATTTATATTAATCTATGTTCTATCAAGGGGTGTTACCTCTCTTCCATCTTGCCCCTCCTGTTTCTTCTCTGTGTATCCTGGCATCTCCTGCATGTCTCAGTTATCTCCTCCAGCTTCCTCTCTCTGCCCAGAAGTCCCACCTATAGATCCTGCCTAGCTATTGGCCATTCAGCTCTTTTTTTAAATTATCACAGCAATATATCTTCACAGAGGGTACAATATCCCACAACGTTTCCCTCTTGTGTCTAAATAAAAAGGAAAGGTTTTTAACTCTAACAGTAAAACTATATACAATAAAGAACAATTATTAGGTAAGAATTACATTCACAATGTCCAGTCCATTTGTATTTGGAATATTCAGAGAAAATACTCTATTATCTATCTTATCTTATATCTAAACCATTTTCTATCATAAATTGTATTACCATCCTAAAACTATTGTTTTAGAACTCAAAATACTTTTTAGATAAATGATTTAAATGTTTATGTTTCCCAAGCCTGTACACTTTATACCTCTTTTTTTGTTTTTTGTTTTTCAAGACAAGGTTTCTCTGTGTAGTTTTGGTGCCTGTCCTGGATCTCGCTCTGTAGACCAGGCTGGTCTCAAACTCACAGAGATCCGCCTGGCTCTGCCTCCCAAGCGCTAGGAATAAAGATGTGCACCACCATTGCCCCGCCACTTTATACCTCCTTGTTTTCTAAAAATTTAGTAACAAGGAAAGCTGTAACTATAACTATCTAGTCTTCAACCCCATCAAAGACCTAAGAAGGATATAATATTACCTGAGTAAACAGGAAGTGCAGAATAAACAACTTCCAAAACTATAGAAATGACAGAGATATCAGGTTACCTGGACAGTCACCCCAAGGTTGCTCTGCAACATTGGGGCATCTGTCTTTGTCCTAAGGCCTAGAATATCTGACAGACATTTTTGTGAAGCAGAAAAATTTTGGAGGACTGTCATACCTTTTCTTAGCAAAATTCAATTGTCACCTTCTTTTGTGTTCTGCTTATCCAATTTGGACAGCATACTGTCAGCAGTCAAGGCAAGGGTAGTTTCTTGCCCAGTTGGCTACCTTTGCCATAGTGAAAGCAAACTCCATATGGGGGTTCTTTGATGCTCATCAGCCTTTTTTGAGGTAAATTGATGCTGCCAGGAGTAGACATGTCTCACTATCATGAAAAGCCTTATGTTATTAAAACATTTTAAATGCCATATTCTGTAGGTCTTTGAAGTGTTTGAAGACCATCTATCTATTTAAAATATATTCCTGTTTGACCCTGAAAACATATCTAACATGACTACAAGGTTGATTATTATAGATAACTAACTGCTAACCTATATTTCTTAATTATCCTAAATAGCTTTCAAGGACTAGAACTTTATATTACATTTTTAAATGAGCTGCATAGGTGCAATACCTTAAACAAGAATAGAAACATATATTCAGTATATAACAAAAATAACCATAAATTTGTATCAGTGTACAAAAATCCATACCAATGTAAAATATTTGAAACTACTAGTTGTTTCTTTTTTAGTTTTAAAGTAGATTCAAAAATAATCTGTCCTTTTATCCTATCATTTCTATATGCCTCCTTGTTCTTTTTACAACTAGATCCCTAAATCTAATCTCCTTTGTTCAGGTTTTTTCCTGACTATTACCAATAACAACATGTAACCAACCCCCCTAAACAATGACAAGCATACACAACCCATTGAATGACCAAAAACACACACTCTACCTCTTGGGAATATGGGCATCATATTCTAAAAATACTTCTTGCTATCTGTGGCTGACAGCATCTTTAGGGGACACTGACAAAATTGAGATATGGTCAAGTCCTGGGAGAGCTAAGTGTATTATTTTTTCTTTAGTCTCTGTATAATGGGAAAGTGTAGACATTATCTGAAGTCTTGACTGGATAGTCGGTGAGGCTGGACCATCTCAGCTAACAGCCTTGAAGTTGTTTTGGATGCAAAATTTTGAGGAAAATTCAACGAGGCATTCTGAGAGGCTGGATCACCTGGGCTGCTTGTCTTCACTGATATCTGGTCCTTTTTTTCTGAAAACACACCAACTTTTAAAGGTAACATATATATCTGTATTAACAGAAGTATGGAATGTGCAGTGTGTACAAGTCAGCTAAAGATGATTTTTTGTTTTATATTTGAAAAGGTAAAATGAATTTGTTAACTTTATAGTCTGTTAGAACTGTATAACCAAACCTCTGCTTTTGCCATATGAAAGGATGACATGTAATACTCATCCAGCCTCAGCGTTATTCCCATTGTAGAGGGATAAGCATATACATCACCTGTCCTGTAGTCTTTCTTGATTTCTTTTTTTATGTCTGCAGATAAGATTTTCAGGAAGTCTCCCCCAATCAAATCTGATCTTTATTAATTTTGAAGAGAACTATAACTTTTTGTTTCCTGTGGAAACAAAGAAATAACCTCTGCACTAACACAACATATTTTCTGACTTCCATTTTTTAAGTTAAGACATTCTTAAACTACGTAGGTTAAATTAGTTTAGTAGTTTTCATAATCCAATGTCTCTCAGCAGCAGTTTTTTGTACATTAACATTTAAAAACTTCAAAGTCAACAAAATACCATATAGGATCCAGACATACTGTGTATTTCCCATCATTATGTGGCATATATGTGTGTGTGTGTGTGTGTGTGTGTGTGTGTGTGTGTGTGTGTGTGTGTTACTTTACTCTTTCT